GCGAGAGCTGGTGGGGAGCTCTGGGGGGGCAGTTTGGGGTGGCTGATGCTGCTTCCGAGCTCCTGCTGGTTGGCTCTTGGTGGAGGCTGAGCTAAAATAAGGCAAAAGAGACCAAATTGGCTTTTCCCCAGCTCGTCGGTCAGTTTTTTATGTACATCATGAAATGTTAATTGAGGGGAGGTGGCCAAATGGACAGTGTTTGGGGAACCTCAGCTGAAAAGCACTAAAGGGACGATAGATTGAGTGGAGGATGCTCTTCGGGTCTGCGTTTGGCCTGATCTGTCTGAAATCCAAGCTGTGTGCTTTTTGTTCTGTCTTACAAAATGCAAAACCCAGGAGGGCTTTTTTGGGGGGGTGGATTCGCTCCCCGTGTCCACCTCGTCCCTTAGAGCTGCCCCTAATAGTGTCCACGGGGACCACCAGCCCCTCCAGGGCTCCTTCCCTGTGCCCCTGCAACGGCTCCGTGAGGCTCAGACCCAATTTATGTCCTCACTGCTGGCAGCTCTTCAGCATATAATGACAAAAATTCCAATTACTCTCATGTTTCACCGGGGTTTTTTTCCATTTCTCTTGGTTTGGACCTGACAATCCTGGTGGCTCATCCCACTCCCAGCCTGGCTCTAGCCTCACTTGGCGCCAAAGGACGTCTGTAAATAAACGTCAGCTTTTGGTGGCTGCTTCTGTAACGAAATAACTGGTGTTTGGTTCGAAAGTTTCACCAAAAAAAAGTTACTTTTACCAGTTTCGGGCCGGGGTTTGCTGTTGAGTGCCCTCTTCTTTTCGCCGTGTGCCACCCTCGAGCCGCGGTTGTGGTTTATTATTTTAGCAGAGTCATGAAATCGCGTTTGTGCCCCAAAATAGCTTGATGCTGGGCTTCAAACCAAGCAAATCCCTCCCCCCTCAAATCACCTTCAGCCACAAAACTCTTCCTGTTGTCCCACCGATGACAAACAGTCAGGGTAATCCTCCTAGCCCCAGCTAAGCCAAGCTACTGGTGCCCAGTTTAAAATGTTCCTGTGTCCCAGTGGGTCGTTCCTTCCCACTAAGCCCAGTTTCCAGCCGGGTTTGGGCGCAGGGTTGGGTGTTTTGAGGTTTCCCATCCTTCTGCTTTCATCACTGAGGACCACAAGAGGTTGGCAAAAATGCGGAGACGTCATGCAGGCTCTGCCGTGGCTGCGGGGCAGGATCCTGGCACGTCCCCCCCGGAGCTGCCGGGGCCCTCACTTTCATTCCGGGATAATTACTCCATTAAAAGGAACACCCCAAACTAATTAGACTGGAAGAAAATCAGGGTGTTTTTGGAAGAGGGCATGTTTACTGCCGGGCCCTTCCTCACCAGCTGCTTTCACGTGCGGCAAAGCCCGGGCACTCGGGGGAATTACGGGGGATCAGAGGCTTCAAACGGGCTCTGCCCGCTCCGGAGACTCCTTAATCCCTCGCCGGCCGCTTTCACGTGCGGCAAAGCCCGGGCACTCGGGGGAATTACGGGGGATCAGAGGCTCCAAACGGGCTCTGCCCGCTCCAGAGACTCCTTAATTCCCCTGTTCCTGGTACAGAAGGTCCTGAGCCTGGACTTGGCTGCGGGACGTAGATCCCGGCCGTGCCGCGATGTTTGGTGCCATGCCCAAAGGTGGCAACGGGGGGAGAAAAACCCCACGCCATTAACCAAAATTCCCCATTATTATTATTATTTTTTTTCACCATTTGCAGCCCCACGAGCCCTAAGCGCTGCCGTCAGCAACGCGCTGCCTGCAGAGGGATGGTCTTAAAATGAAAAGGTGCTGCGAGGGCGTCGGGCTGCCATGCCTGTTTAAGGTCAGTGCCCTCTCACCCTGCTCATCCTCCCCAAACGGGGTTGTCCCCTCTTGTCTCAGGGGTGGGAGCAGGAATCGGGGTCCCCATCCCGCAGACGGCTGGTCGGGAGGGGAGCGGGTGCTGCTGGGGACACGGTGGCTTTAGCCAGGGGGATGGGATGGGATGGGATGGGATGGGATGGGATGGGATGGGATGGGATGGGATGGGGCTCCCCCAGCTTTGACAAAGTGGGTTTGCTTCGGTTTTAGAGCAGGGCAGGAGGTGGCTCCGAGTTATCTCGTGCTTCTCGGGAGCCCCCCGGTGCCTGCAGCCCAGGGGGAAACCATTTAGGTGAGATCCCAGGAAGACATTTTTCACTCTGAGGTTCGTAAGAGCCTGGCCCAGGTTGGCCAGAGAAGCTGTGGCTGCCCCATCCCTGGAGGGGTTCAAGGGCAGGTTGGAGGGGGCTTGGAGCAACCTGGGCTGGTCATGATTCTATGCAACTTCACCCAGGTGACGGAGCAAAAATCAACCTGCAAAATGTTTTCCTCCTGGAAAAGCCTTCCAGGCTTGTCCTGGCAGCAAGAGGGGTCTGTGGGGACACAAACCCCTTTCCAGAGGTGGGACAGGAGCAAGTTGGGGACTTAATCCAGTTCTTCCAAGGACCCTCCTTGCACAGAACACCCCGAGGTGCTGTCCCTGTGTCCCCGGGGAGGACATGTGTGGTGGTGGCCCGGCACAGTGACCGCCGTGATTGCGGAAACGGGATTAGCGGTGACAAAATAATCTCTTTATAGGCAGGATAAACGCCTTAGGGCCGGGGCTGAGGTATGTCAGCAGGGATTAACCCCCCCTCCCCGAGCCCAGCTGGGCTAATCAGCTACCAGGGGGTAAGGTGGCCAAGGAGCATCGCTCTGCGGGGCTGGCAACCTCTTGCTGCTGTGGTTGCCACCGTCGCTGTGCCGGGGCCGAAGCCAAGTGCCTCGAGCTAACGGCTGGGCGTTCCCCTTCCGCCTTGCAGGGTGTTGGGATGGCCAGTCCCCGGCCCCCCAGGTACCTCCTCATCTTCGATTTCGACGAGACCATCATCAATGAGAACAGCGACGACTCCATCGTGCGGGCGGCGCCGGGGCAGGCCCTCCCCGAGCACATCCGCCAGACCTTCCGCGAGGGCTTCTACAACGAGTACATGCAGCGCGTCCTGGCGTACATGGGGGACCAGGGGGTCAAGATGGGGGACTTCAAGACCGTCTACGAGAACATCCCCCTCTCCCCCGGCATGCCGGAGCTCTTCCAGTTCCTCTCCAAGAACCACGAGTTCTTTGAGATCATCCTCATCTCCGATGCCAACATGTTCGGCATCGAGTGCAGTCTGAGGGCGGCCGGTTTCTACTCCCTCTTCCGCAAGATCTTCAGCAACCCGTCCAGCTTTGACAAGAGGGGGTACTTCACCTTGGGGCCCTACCACAGCCACAAGTGCCTTGACTGCCCGGCCAACATGTGCAAACGCAAAATCCTGACGGAATACCTGGCGGAGAGAGCCCAGGAGGAGGTGGAGTTCGAGAGGGTCTTCTACGTGGGGGATGGTGCCAATGACTTCTGCCCTTCCGTGACTTTGACTTCCTCTGACGTGGCTTTCCCGCGGAAGGGCTACCCCATGCACCGCATGGCCCAAGAGATGGAGAAGAAGCAGCCGGGAACCTTCCAGGCTACTGTGGTCCCCTGGGAGACGGCCACAGAGATCGCCCGCTATCTCCAGGAGGTCCTCAAGAAGAAGTGCTGAGGATGGCTCAGAAGAGACTTGTGCACTAGAAGCGGTTGGGAAAGGAGAATCCTGGGGGGTGTCACCCCCCACGTCATCGGTCCCTGCTCCTGGGTCCCTTCCCTGCCTGTCCTCACCGAGCTCCTTTCCCCCGGTGATTAAAGCACTTTCTCTAGGTCCCCCCGTCTCCTTCCCCTGCCATGTTGGGATGAACCATGAACCATGATGTCCTTCTCTATGCAGCTCGGACACCTACTCCAGCGGGGATCTTGGCCAACACTAATGGTGATTTTTTGTTGTTGTTGTTGGGGGATTTGTCTTCTTTCCCTTTTGACTTCACAAGAGCAATTCCTACAAGACCCGAAGCCGCCTCCCCTTGGGCTGGGCTTCCTGCACATGCTTCCTCCTGCCTTCATCCTCCTCGCCTGCCCGACCACGCCGGGAGCTGCGTGCTGTTCAACCTGATGCTCGAGGGCTCCTTTGCCTCTTCGTGAGGCCACTGGAACTTTAATCCAGGAAATTCGGGGGCTCCCCAACTTGCCCTTCGCACCCCGGGCAGGGCAGCCCCTGGCTCAACTGCTGAGCCTTGTGATGGAGTCAATTGTCCCTTGAGACTTTATTCTCAAAAAAAAAAAAAGCACCCCAAAACGTGACACGAGGAACAGGAAACCTTTTGGAAAGGTGGTACCTTGGAAAAAAAACCCCTCCTCTATCCCATCCCCACCCGCTTGCCCAGGGCATGGGCACGTCGACCACGTCCCACTGCGGGGAGGAGGACCTGCCCCTGCCTCTTGCCTTCCACTTCCATCCTCTGCTTCTGCTTCCAGGGCAAAATGTCCCCATGTCCCTTGGGCGGACAGGTTCCTTCTCACCCCAAGCCATTCCCGGATTGTCTCCTCCTGTTTGCTGGATGGTTTGGGCTCCTCTTTTACCCTGGGGGGGTGTAATTTCCCTCCCAACCTGGTTGAGAGGTGCCCAACCTCCCCCGGGAGCTGTGGTGCTGCAGCACTTCTCCTGGCATCCAGTCCCCAGAGGCCAAACCCCCCCTCCCTGTGCCCCCTTGCCCCGCTGCAGTATTAATTACCCCTTCTAATTGCACTCTGCAGGGCGGGGGGAGACCTACAGTATTCGCTGCTCTCTGGTGTTGGCTTCTCCCGGATCTATCCACAGCCTTACCGGCCCCGGAGGGGGGCTCCTTAACTCCTCCAAAGCCTAGAGAAACCCCCACAGCAAACCCCAGCAGTAAGGAAATAACCAAAGCAGCCCTGAGATGTTCCTCCTCTAGTTCATTTCCCTTCTCTCTCTGTTCTTCCTCCTCCGGACCCTGTTCAACTGTGTGGAACTTAAAGCCATGGAATTAAAGAAAAAATAATAATAATAATAATACATATATATGTATATAGATATATATCTATATATTGCAGATACACAAGTTGTTTGTATCCAGGGCATAAACCTGGGTGTGAAACGGCCTCTCAGTTGCACAAACGTGTTGTTTCTCTTCCTTGGGTTGGTGCAAGAAGGGGGGGGTGTTGGAGGGGGAGCAGGAGAGCGGGGCCAGGCTGCCAGCGATGGGGACCCTGTGGGGACCTCTCCGGTGCAGGACTGGGCCCTGGCTCACCCCCCCTCTGCACCTCCAGCAGGCAGGGGGACCTGGGGACACGGCTGGGGGCTGCTTTTCTTGTCCCCGAGGGTGTTTGGCTCCGTCTCCTCTCTCTGCGCTGTGGTCCTGCGCTGTCATTGTCCCTCCGTGGGGACAGGAGCATCCCCAGGGTCAGAGCTGCAGGGCCTGGTGCTGAACCTCCCCGGCACCAGCAGCAGCCAGTGCTGCTGTCATTAAAAACATATAGAAAAGGGAGAGGGGAGGGCGGGCAGGGGGATGCTCTGGAGGCTGCCTATATATTGCAGATACACAAGTTGTTTGTATCCAGGGCATAAACCTGGGTGTGAAACGGCCTCTCAGTTGCACAAACGTGTTGTTTCTCTTCCTTGGGTTGGTGCAAGAAGGGGGGGGTGTTGGAGGGGGAGCAGGAGAGCGGGGCCAGGCTGCCAGCGATGGGGACCCTGTGGGGACCTCTCCGGTGCAGGACTGGGCCCTGGCTCACCCCCCCTCTGCACCTCCAGCAGGCAGGGGGACCTGGGGACACGGCCGGGGGCTGCTTCTCTCGTCCCCGAGGGTGTTTGCCTCCATCTCCTCTCTCTGCGCCGTGGTCCTGCGCTGTCATTGTCCCTCCGTGGGGACAGGAGCATCCCCAGGGTCAGAGCTCTGTGTTCCCATCAGCTGCAGTGCCTGGTGCTGAACCTCCCCGGCACCAGCAGCAGCCAGTGCTGCTGTCATTAAAAACATATAGAAAAGGGAGAGGGGAGGGCGGGCAGGGGGATGCTCTGGAGGCTGCCAGGATGCAGGGGTTCCAGCAGTGGTACCCACCACCTGTACCCACCACCTGTACCCAGTCCAGCTGCCCCTGGCAGTGCAAAGCCAAGGTGAAATGGCAAAGCAGAGCCCTTCCTGAGGAGGAGCAGGATGTGGCCGAGCTGGGGGCCAGGGGATGCTCTGGGGATGCTGGAGGATGCAGGGGTTCCAGCAGTGGTACCCAGCACCTGTACCCAGCAGTGGTACCCAGCCCGGCTGCCACCAGTGCAGTGCAAAACCAAGGTGAAAAGGCAAAGCAGAGCCCTTCCCGAGGAGGAGCAGGATGTGGCCGAGCTGGGGGGTCTGGGGGATGCCGGGGGGGCTGCCAGCCCCGGGGCTCAGCAGGGCTCCACGTAATTGCCGGGGAAGAAACCCGCCTCCTCGCCCATCACACCCTCGCACCAGCCGTCCGAGTAGCGCCGCGTGACGAAGAGGAGGGTGCCGGGCTGGAAGGAGAGCTCGTTGTCCTTCTGCCGCGTGTAGGGGTAGAGGGTCACCACTGCGAGGGGAGGGGGAGAG